ACACTGGTTTTCTTAGAGAGTCGCCATCTATTTTATGCGAAAGTATAAATAAAATTAAAACTTTGTAAAGTGTTTGTTCTTTTGAGCGCATAACAAGTTCGATTGAGACTTTAAACCGTGAAAATGTGTGATTAGGGTATATCAGTTTACTAAAATATGTAATCAGAAAAACGCGTTTAAGCCTACTCTTGCGCTAAATTATATTTTATACAGTTGTTACAAAATTAAAGTTATTACAATTAACTAAATTTAAAAACAATGTATGCTCATAAATATGTATGTTATGCACAAGTAACACGGAAAATTTTGTAAAAGAGTTGCCACCGGCATAAAAAATTAAAACTATTTAAAAAAATGTATTTTAATATTCATATTAATTTTTATATTATAGGCAAAATAAAAAATACTTATGTATATGGCGCCCATCTATTTGAATATATGAAAATTGAAGAACATTTTTTTCAAGCGAATTATTTAGAGAAAACTTAAAGCTGGAATCAAATCTTGAATTGAAGCTGCATGTATTAAAATATCAAAAATACACAAAAAATAATGTATCTAAAAAATTTTGTGCAAAATATGTAGTTTTTGATGATTTCTTCCATGAACAGTTTTTATGGAAACTTTTAAATTATAAATAAAAAAATGTATTGTTTTTATTTGCGTTTAATTGTAATTAATTTTGTCTTTATTTATATTATATTTTGTATTATTATATCTGGGAAATCTTATTTTAAATTGTCTTTTTTTTGTTATTTTGTTTGATTTTTAGATAATCTTTTATTTATAATCTATTTGCTTTTTTAGTTTTAGTTTAGTTTGTTTTTCATTGGATATAATTTTTTTATTTTGATTTTATTAAATTATCAAATTCTTTTAATGTCTATTTTATAAAATTTTTTATTTGGTTTTTAGGTAATTTTACTTTTTACTTTCTTGCTAAATTTTTTTTAATATTTGCTGTTTTCTCTTTTTATTTAAATTTACTTTAATTATTTAGAATTAATTTAATTATTCCGTTATTATTTAATTACATTTTTTTTTGTTAAATTTCCCATCTTCTTTAATTTTTTTAATTTAATTTAATTTTTTTGTTGAATTTTCTACCTTCTTCAATTCGTAATTTTTTTTTTATTCCTTTCATTTGATTTTATTTATTATATATCGAGCCATAACTGCCAAAAAGGCGTAAGCTATATCTTTTTCATTTTTTTTATGCAGAGATGTTCCTAGAGCATCTAGTTGCATTTCTACATCAAAAATTAAATTTTGGAAAAAATGGCGCTTACGTCTTTTTGGCTTTTAGTTCCTTTTAATGAATCAAATTTTATTTAATTTAAATTTTTGTTACATAATTTTGTTTTATTTTTGTACTTGATTATTTTTACGATTTCGTTTTTTATTAAATTTTTTTCTAAACATTTATTTCATTCATATACGTTTTTTTCATTTCAATCATTTTTTTTTGTTAACATTTCTTATTTGTCGTTTTATTTAATATTTTTTTGTGTTTTTTTTAATTTTCTACTTGTTTATTATTTTTATATTTTATTTTAATAAATTTTGTTTCTTTTGTTTAATTGCATTTAATTTACATTTATATACTGTTTTTTTATTTTATTATTTTTTCTTATTTTTTATTTTTTTACCTTTTTACTCAATTTGTTTTCATTCGTCTTTCTTCTTTTATTTTTTTTTTAATTAATTTTTAACAAATTTAAAAAAAAATCGGTATTTAAAAAAAATTTATGAAAAATCAATTTTTTGTAGATTTTTTAAACTATTTCATAGCAAATCTCTTACTCCACACTTTCCCATAATCTAACTGGCTTGCCTCAGAATTCTTTACAAGACCTCCTTAACCATTTATTTGTGGTCAAGTACTAACAAGTTAATTAATGCATACATACATTCATTCGTTTTAATTGAATTCGTAAATCAATCTAAAATGTCTTCTATTTACTCTGCACATTACGTAATCCAAATTATATGATTCTAATTAAATATTCTGCAAACAAGTTCTCATTACCAGCGAATGTAAATTTAAATAAATCAAAAAGCAAACAGCGCGTGTCCAATTGCAACCAGTTCTTTGCTTTGGCTAGCAAATCACAAGACCGACGAAGTAACCACCACTGCGCCACCCAACCAAAATGCCACTCACAACAGGTGAAATCAAATCAGCACCTACTTACCACTAAAAAAAAAATAATTTTTATTTCCATGTTATTCTAGACGCTTTGCAGTTTCGCAATACAGTTCCGTTAGAGTATTGCAAAAAAATGCACACAGTTTGACGGAAATATAAAAAATATATTAAATAATCAAGTTAACGATTTTTTGAGCCGCCAACCTTGAGTTCGTGCGGTAGCCGAATTTTGAGTGAAATCGAAGTATTGCAGCAATTTTATTTTATTTTATTTTTTTAGTTGCATACGTTGAAAATTAGAATGATTTATACGTATAGATGAATAAATTTAAAGTCGTTGAAAAATTATTATGTAGAATTCTGGTCATTTATTTATGTAATCAGCTTATTTATTTTGAATAATTGGTTAGCATTTGACTTTTAAGCTCAAATTATTTTGCATTTTTTAGGAGAGTAGGCGTATTCTTAAGCATATCAGGACGGAGTTTTATTAAAAAAAAAAACTTAAATAATCGTGATTGCAATTTTCGCATATTCTGAAATAATGGGCTAAAAAAATAATGTTCCGCCTACTCAGAAGGCCCGTTATTGTCATTTTATACTGGAACATTACCAACTAACTCTTATTCAACCAAGTGGTATTCAAGTGATGTTAATCTAGTATATAATTAAAATATTAGAAGATAATTTAGTTTAGTAAGTTTGAAGTAGAGGAGTAAATTAAAAAAATATCTGAAAAGTCCGAACCCTGTTTTCTATGGATTGAAAGGTCTGTTCTCTCCGCAAGTCTCCGTTAATCTTAAGCTCAGATTGACAGCTTTTTATGACATTTTTCAGGCAGAGTTGGCCGCTATAAAAGAGGCAGTCGATGGGCAACGCAGTAGCGTATTACCGATTAGAAGGGTGTCTCTACTCTGATAACCAAGCGGCCCAAGGATCATGACTAAACTGGAGGGGGGACGCCCAGCCACTCTGTCAAAAGTCACGAACTACTTTCCAATTAAATTGATTTGAGAATTAGCTAGGCATGGTACCCTGTCATCATTTCCCCGGACAGAAGACGCATTGGATTTTCATTAATAGGTGTTTTTTTTTCTTCTGAAAAGCTATGTTCGTCCAAATTCTATTTTTAAAAAATAAACAGTTTTTTTCTCAAAAACTGGACGTGCTAGAAAAATTTTGTAAATGCACTTCAAATGACCATCAAAAAATTTATAAGATGAGGTTGGCACAGTTTTTGAGATAAAATACAACCAAACTTAGTTGAGCCGTGTTTTTTAAAGCCCTCCAACACGATATGTATGTATTTGCATGTGGAAATGTAACTTCTGACATAAATATGCAATTTACTTCTATATGAAACGGATTCACGTACGTACATGCATACAACGACACAGGAACGCTTCTTTTTTATCTGACTCGTAGATAAAATCTGCTGTGTTTTGTTTACTTATTTCGTTTTGAAATAACGTTATTTTAAAGCGTAAACTAACTAGTGTGAATTTAACAGACAGACATGGTGACACCTACACATGCAAATACCTACATACATATCGTGTCAGATGGCTTTTAGAAGTTTCATAGGCAAAGCATATACAGTCTTGTTTTGAGAATCATCTGTGAAACATGACTTGAAGTTAGTTTTTTTTTTTTTATATCGTTGTAGGTTCATTGTGTTACGAAGTATTCAAGAAAGGCGTTAACTACTTACATTCAATAAAACTCGCGTCAATCGCGCTCATAACTGTTGCAAGGAAGCAGAGTCTCCATCAAAATGTTCACCAGACTAACAGCAACACAAACTCTCACTAAAGGCCCACGTCCACTAGTTTTATGCGGACCGTCCGGCTCTGGGAAGAGCACGCTGCTGAAACGTCTCTTTGCAGAATTCCCAAACACTTTTGGTTTCAGCATTTCGCATACAACGCGTGCGCCACGTGCCGGTGAGGTGCATGGCATCCATTACTACTTTGTCGATCAGCAGGAAATGCAGAAAAAGATTGCGAATGACGAATTCATTG